GTGCAGATGATTCAGTTCGGGCCCCCAGTGACTCTCCGAACAGCCACAAATAACTCAGTAGAGCAGCGAAGTCAAGAGAGTCTGAGACTTGAACAACAGCCACACGACTCACAGCGAGACTCACGGACACACTCAGAACACACAAATCCACAACATCAGCTTTATTAGACTGAGAGCACTATCTGTAAATGACAAGAACACATCTAACCTGTGAAGCATCTATAACTGTTTAAAGATGCATATTATGATCTGCTGTGTTACCATAGCAACTGTAGAATCACCACAACAGATCAATTACTGTAGTTGTTGTGTTACCATAGCAACTGTAGAATCACCACAGCAGATCAATTACTGTTGTTGTCGTGTTACCATAGCAACTGTAGAATCACCACAGCAGATCAATTACTGTTGTTGTCATGTTACCATAGCAACTGTGGAATCCCCACAGCTTTACTTCAGTACTGCTAGTTTACTATAAGTTACTATAGTACTGTGTTTGTCATGTGGTGATAGAGTCGGTGTCGGTGCTGGATGACTGTGGTATAACTCTCTGTTTCTGGGCTCGCTGTGTGTTCTTATCATGATCACGTTTGCATGCAGCAGCTTCTAACCTGAGACTGGGCTCATTTGAAACTGGGCCATTATTTAGGTCAGTGAGAATCTGAAACAGAAGAACAGACAGGAGGACTGCAGATATGATCATGTACATTACATGAAGCAGCGTAACACCCAGACCCATGATCAATCCACCTGCACAGATAACACACTCAACCTGCTTCATGGCTGATTTTTGACTCTGTGATTAGAAGTGAATGTAAGTGTGTGAAATAACACAACACACACCCAGGAGATGTTCAGAAAGAAGATGATCAGAGCCGTATGGATATATTTACACAACATCTGCAATTCAGTGCAGATGCTCTGAATGCTTCAATGCTCTATTAATATGTATTGATTATAGTTGAAACTAGACTATATAGATCTCACTCTGTGTGTGTGTGTGTGTGTGAGAGAGAGAGTAAAGGTTAAATGGTATTACAGTACAGAATGAGTCTTTCTACATTATCCTGAACAGTATAAACATTGGTGTAATGTGTCAGATAAGGGAACAGAGAGGACGGTGCCTTACACATGTAAATATCAAAGGAAAAACTTTGAGAAAGCAGCAGAATATAAGCATATTGAGATATAATCAATCCTTCTTGAGTTATAAGCATGCAAACTCTGAGAAAAATAATCAGAAAGTATTTCTCCCATTAAAATAAAAGGCTTTACTATTTGATACCGATTACAACAGATTATTTTTTACACACAGAGCTCCCAACCTCTCATTGCCGTTTTGGCTTCTCCTCAGCTAACACAATGTTTCCATAACGCCTCAGTCTCATGCTATATTCATATTCTCAGAAAGATCTTTTAAATGTGATTAGAACAGTTTATTCTAATTATATTAATGTACTAAGAACGTTAAAATGTTCACGAGAATGTTTTAAAAACATGCATTTAGGAAAGTGTTGCCTGCTAACATTTACACAACTTTTAGGGAACATTACAGCATATTCTGATGTTTTTCTGTAAGCAAAAACATGATTTTAATAATAAAGTTAGGTGCTAATATTTACACAGCTGTTCTGAAAACTTCTGTAGCACGAGTGGGTTAATGAATGAAACTCCACAATACAATAATAATCATCATCATTTCTGCAGCTCATCACATTCATCTCCATCTCTGACCGTGAAGACATTTAATCAGATCAGCTTCACTCGAGTTCAGCAGAGAGAAGGCAGATAATGAAGCTCTACTCACTTCTCAGACCAGATTACACAGCACTGATGTTTCTGCCGTTTTCAGACTTCAGTTTGTTCATTGTTGAGATATTAACAGCAGAGGGCAGCAGAGCTCCACTCACCCACAGAGGAAGAGCTGAATACAAGTAAAACCCCTGTCTGTCTGTCTGTCTGTCTGTCTGTCTGTCTGTCTGTCTGTCTGTCTGTCTGTGTGCACACATTTACAGTCAGAAATCTAACATGCACACGCCAGAGTCACAGAATAAGCAACATTTCATTAAGATCTTTTATATCAAATGTACCTAAAATATATCTTTTATATTAGAATACATATTTATCAATAAATCAGCAGTCTAATCACATTGTTCTGGTCTATCAGAGTAATTCATCAGAGGCATATTTTTATTATTATTATTATAGTAGCTTTAGGACATGCTATAGCTGTTTATGCTGATCTTTGAGTGTGAGATTTGAGTTTTATAACTCACATTATCCAGATATATGACACACACACAGCTCTCTTGGCTCTGCTCTTTCTAATTGGTATTAAATATTAATCTGTACAGGAGCACATCAGTTTGACCTCTGCAAGTCACAGATATCCTCAGCGAGAGCCTCTGTGTCTGTTTAATTACACTTACTAATTAAAAACTGCAGATGAAGAAGCAAACAAGATGACCGATCTCTCTCTCTCTCTCTCTCTCTCTCTCTCTCTCTCTCTCTCTCCTGAACAACATAATGAATTCAACAGACCAATAGATGACCAGATTTTATTACAGTAATGATGCTATTTTCATTAGTTTAGGGGGAAATGCAGGCTCTGGAACTGATGATCCTGAATTAAAGGGTCAGTTCATCAGTTACTCTCGTTTCAGTAGTTCTAAATTGGTTACGAGTTTCTTTCTTTTGTTGAATACAAAAAATACAAGATATTCTGAAGAATGCTGAAACACAGATGATGACATCCACAGAGGAACAACCACAACAGACAAACACGTGAAGTCAACAGCTGTTTTCCAGCATTCTTCAGAATATCTCCCATTAAAATATGAGACAAACAACAAGCACAGAGAGAAAACACCGAATGACCAGACGATGATGAGCAAGAGAGAGAGAGAGAGAGAGAGAGAGAGAGAGAGACAGACAGAGAGAGAGAGGGAGAGAGAGAGAGAGACAGAGAGAAACAGAGAGAGAGAGAGAGAGAGAGAGAGAGAGAGAGAGAGAGAGTGTGTGGGCTGCAGTGGCTGATGGGAAATGAAGTCCAGGTGCAGAGCAGATGAGCAGCCTCTGCTGGTGAGAAAGAGGAACTGCGTGTGAAACTCCTCCAGTTGTGTTCATAATCCTCATCAGTGTATTTGTTTCTGTACTGATGTCAGTGTCTGTTTTCCCAGAATTCTTTACAATATCTTGTTTTGTTTTAATTCCACAGATAAAACAGAAACTTACTACAGTTTAGGAGAAGATATTTTAATTTAAGGGTAAACGAACAATTTCAGCTTTTTCAACAGGTGTTTGTAGATGTTTAATAAAGAGTAGAAATCCAGAGATTAATCATATTTATGTGTAGTATATATTATATTTTATATACAATTTTAATTGTAAAATCATTGAAATTTACAGTGTTTATTTTTTCAGATCTTTTTGCAAAGTTGCATTTATTTATTCAAAATACAGTAAAAACCAAAAACAGTTTTGATATTCCACTTTATTAGGCACACCTCACTAGTACCGGGTCAGAGCCCTTTTGCCTTCAGAACTGCTTTAATCCTTGGTGGCAGAGATTCTTCAAGCTGCTGGAAATATTCCTCAGAGATTTTGCTCCATATTGTCATGATAGCATCACACAGTTGCTGCAGATTTGTCGGCTGCACATCCATGATGCCAATCTCCCGTTCCACCACATCCCAAAGCTGCTCTATTGGATTGAGCTCTGGTGACTGTGGAGGCCATTTGAGTACAGTGAACTCATCGTCATGTTCACCAGTCTGAGATGATTGAGCTTTATGACATGCTGCGTTATCCTGCTGGAAGTAGCCATCAGAAGATGGAGACACTGTGCTCATAAAGGGATGGACATGGTCAGCAGCAATACTCAGGTAGGCTGTGGCGTTGATGCTCAATTGGTACTAATGGACCCAAAGAAAATCTCCCCCACACCATTACACCACCACCACCAGCCTGAACCGCTGATACAAGGCAGGATGATCCATGCTTTAGACCGCCAACTATTCCAGCATATGTTTTACACAGCGGATGCTCTTCCAGCTGCAACTTAATACTGGGAAACACCCATACACACTCATTCACACACACACACACACTCATACACTATGGCCAGTGTAGTTGATCAGTTCCCCTATAGCGCATGTGTTTGGACTGTGGGGGAAACCGGAGCACCCGGAGGAAACCCACACCAACACAGGGAGAACATGCAAACTCCACACAGAAACACCAACTGACCCAGCCGAGACTCAAACCAGAGACCTTCTTGCTGTGAGGCCACAGTGGCTCCTTGGGAAATATATGTAAAATAATGACATTTGACAGACGGGCGAATAACACTCTTCAACTGTATTTAAACACATTTCTGCTCTTGTTTTTCTCAGCCGGCAACATTTGAGCACACTGTGCTGTTTTATATAATGTTCCTGGACACTTATACAGTCGTGGGTGTGTGTGATGTCTGAAGTTCAGTTCTTCATTTTCTGTCCGCTCGGTGTGTGTGTGTGTGTGTGTGTGTGTGTGTGTGTGAGCGTGGGCTGGTGTGTTTGTAGTGTTTCAGAAAGGCCTGCCTGCAGATACACACACACACACACATCAGCCTCCTCGTCCACCATCTTGGCTCAAACACACACAGTTGTGCTCTTGTGAACTGTAGCTGAGGCAGATCTGACTTTGTGGATGGTCATGATTCAGACTCCAGCACAGTCTGAGACGCGTCCGGCTCCCACACACACACACACACACACACACACACACACACACACACATCCTGTGAATGAGCGCGGTATTTTGAGCGCTGGCCGGCTCTGTGTGGGTGAAGAGCGGAGGATCAGCGGAGTGTGAGTTTGGCAGAGCTGGAGCTGTGAGAAACACCAAAGCTTCATCTTCACTTCATGATCAGCATCTAAAGCACATTCTACTGAAATAGATCTGAAGAGGACTGAACACACAAGACCACCGATAAACTACCGATAATCCACAGATAAACT